ATCTCAAGCAGCATTACTATTCTCTATAAGTCGAACTTGTGAATGATTTAATTTTGGAAACAGTATGCTTTTTTGTGCTAAATGAATATAATTTTATAAAAGTTGTGTCAGTTTTTCCCTTTTTTTTTTACACAAACATGTTAACAGAATATTGTTTAGGCGGGAGTTTTATGAATATCAACCCTTTCACGTCTGTCCACCTGCAGCCAGTTCACTCAGGTCTCATTTTGGATTTAAAGCGTCTCCATTATTCCTGTGTGGATATAATGGATATGATCAGAATCCAGTGGTTTCCAACATTTTAGAGCTGAGCTGACAAGCTGGTGTTTTAACCTCAAGCAGATTTGCCATGAATTTCCTCATCTTCTGGGAACCAATGGGAAACCAATTGTTCTAAGGATTGGATGGAAAGGCTGATTAGATTGATACTGCCATGAGTTATTTCTCTAATGCATGTCTCTTTCACATTGATGAAAAAATTATTCACATCTTTGCCAAAGAGTGGAAGTCAAAAACGTTATTCATTTGATTGCGATTATTGCTTTTCGGTGACACGTTTGGCATTATAGGGCTAGGAGCTCCTGTCTGAGTGATCTGCACGGCATTCCGTTTTCGGCTACACTGAATATCAGCTCTTCGGTTGAACCACAGCTGCTGAGGCTCCAGCTAAACACCGGCACCTCGTTAAGGCCAGTAGATTATTGAGGCCTTCAGTTGTGTTAGGCAGAATGTCCACAGTGAGTGTCGGGATAACTGGACCATGGGAACATGGACTGGAATGAGCTGGACTTCCCAGGGGAAGTCTAAACTTACCCTACAAGTAACACAGGTAAAATGATAGTGATCTTACAGAAGCTTTGGCTTTCAATTCAACACTTTTTGTGTAAATAACCAAAGACAAACATTTTCTGAACGTCTGAAGTATTCTTACTCACCTGAGATGGAGGTTTGTTTGTCCAGTTTGGATGTTGGTTAGCCAGACAACAGAACAGGTTCCTCTTGAAGACCCACCTCTTCAAAGAGCATCTCCTATCCTAACCCTAACCCGTACCTCTACCCCCCCCCACAGCTCCTTCTGTAGCCCCTCTACCTCTATCTCTATCTCACCACTGACTCTGATCAGTGTTTCTGTTCTATATAGTTTATTGTCATTGTGATGAGAAATGTAATATTGTGTCTACTCTGTAAGTCGCTTTGGATAAAAGCGTCTGCCAAATGCATAAACATAAACATAAACATAAACATAGCCAAAAGTCATGGAATGCTCTGGAGAGCAGAAGCCCTGGAGAGGAAAACCCCCTTTTGTGTGAGTACGGGGGTGTGCACGTGTGCCCCTGCTGACATCCAGAATCAGTCAATGAATTACACTGAAGACACTGAAACGGCTTAAACTGGAACTGGTACTTCTGATGTTCACTCATGCCTTGAATCAGGTAGGAAAATGCCAATTAACAGATCAGTTCATAACATGAAGGTTCAAAGATGACCAGGATTTGCTGGGTGTGTGGAACACTCTGTACAGACAGCTGCGCTGGTCCTTTAAAGGGGGAATTCACTCCATATATATCAAAAAAACAAATTTTATTGCCTTGCAAAGCACTTTTTTGATTCATGGTAATGCGTCTGGTCCTCCATGAAATCAGTTATTTTTGGTGTGTGATGTTCATGATGTCATATAAATGTTGTGTATGAATGTGTTGAAATGATATGAAATGAGGGCCGGTTTGAAAACCTGCTCTCCAGACAGCCTGTTGGATCTGTCCGAGGTTTTTTATCTGGGTGTTGCTCCTGCTCTTCTCCAGCCCGACCGCTCAGTTTTCTGTCTGAGTTTTTTTTTGGGCTGTTGAACAACTTTATCTGAAGTGTAAAAAAGAAAGTATTTTAAA